ATACATAATTATTTTTTATATACTTTCTAAAGAGAAGTTGTAAAATGATAATATTCAATTATGTGAATCATGGATGGCAATATTTTTTTATACTGCGTACTTTTTATAAATTTCTATTAAATCTTCATAGGTTGGAGCATTAAACATTTCAGGTTACATCAAACTTAAAGTGAAATCAAGTACTTTTTTCTTTTTATTTTTTTCTTAAATATAATTTTGAGCATATTATTAACATTTTTATTTCTTTTCTTTTATAAAATCATCCATTATCTATAATAATAAAACACTATCAACAAATAAATAATAATTTGATACTTATCAATATGATATTGTCTCTTTTTTATTTGACTATGTTTATTAATCAATTCAAGAATAATAGCTTAGCCATTCTTATTCAACAATCTCCATAATCTATCTCTATAAGCCTTGTGTTTCTATTTCAAATTTTTAAACACTCTCTTAACATAGTTCACTTTTTCAACAAAATAATGATGTTTTTACAAACACTATATGTATAAGTGAGTGGTATGTAGAAATTATAATACTAGTTTAATAGCTCTTACTTTTGAAAATGCCCTTAGTTGTTAAGTAAAGATTTTAACTGATAAACACATTTTGAATTTGCTTCTTTCCTCAACTGTTGCTCCCATTCCTTTTATTTTTATCATAGTTATAGTCTTGTATTACCAAACTATCAAACGTCCCTTTGCTAAATATTTATTATGTAATTTCATTTTCTATGATAATGTAATAAACAATTACATCTAGCATTTCTTTCATTTAAGCAGCATATTATGCTATTTTAATTAATTCAAACCAAATAATTTGATTACGTATTTTCAATTTTTATTAAATTTCTATTTGTTTTTGAAAACTTCTAATTTCCTTCAAAGATTCATTTGCTTTTAATTTGCTAATCATATCCATCTTTTTATCTTCATAAATCACTCTTTTTCTTTCTACTGCTTGCAATATTCTTTATTTTAGTAATCTTTAACTTATTTTAATCTTTTATTCAATTTCTTTAATTAATATATAATGTTACAATCTTTTTAATATTGTTTCGTATTCAAATTGTTAGCTATTTTGTCCATTTGAATTGAATCTAACCTTGGAGTATTCAAAGAATATAATTCTAATAAACATAATAATAATTTTTATACTTGATTTATATTTATCCGAATCTAATTCTTCCTTTATTGTCTTTATTTTTTTCTTAAAATAATGACCAAAAATAAAGTTGATTGCTATAAGACAATCCTCTTCTGAATACATTGAAATATATAAGTTCTTCATATGAAAAGTATCCCTCTGTTGTTAATCTGCAAATTTAAAATATTTAGATTATATTGCTTATTCACAATTAAAACTAGTAGGAAATTGTGCTACTGTAGATATATACATCTTAAAGGTTTATAATTTCGAATTTTCACTTCTGACATAGGCTTGTAATGGACTTTCTCTATCATAAATTCTCACATAAAAATAATTAAACCTGAATCTTGTTATCTAAATTATGCTTGTTTGATTAGATTTCAACTCTTATAAAGTTAAGGAACCATCATGTTTGATATCAATCTGCTTTTTTAATTCTGCGACGCTCCCAATCGGTGATAATTAAGGAGTAAATTCAACAATATTTTCTAAAGGATCTGATTATTATATTAAATCATAGTTTCTTGAGAAATTTTCCATCATTCTGTGTATTTAACTCCTTGAGCTTAATATTTTGTTCTCCAATCCGTTACATTCTGATGTTTTTCTATTTGTGGGAGATTGCAAACTGATAAAGGAATTAACATTAGAACTGCTTTATTAAAATTCCACATTGCTATGGTGTCTATTATGACTTATTGCAGAATCATAATATAATTACATGCCAGATTATTCTTTAAAATTCATAATATTCAATTTTTATATTAAATTATTATTGAAACATATAATCAAGAGAGTATCCTACTTTGTATTTAACTTTGAGTTCCTCGAATGCTAAATTAGGCTGATCTCTCTGTTTTATTTATTTATTCGTTGTAAGATAGATTCCTTGCCCTCGATATACAGCTGATTAGCTAAATGTTATCAATAAGCCTATGAGCAGAAAAATTTTATTCCTTAGTTTTTGATTGAGCTATATGTAATTCAGGCCTTATTAAGGGTAAATGTAATTGATGTAAAAGCAAGTCTTAATTCTTCCTTTTTTATTTTAATTGTTCCTATTTAAATAAAATTGTTGGTTTAGCATCAATTGATCTTAACTTGAATTTTTACTAAGAGTTCTTACTTAATATTTTAGATTTTTCTGATTTTAGAGGTTCAGTTATAGGAGGTAATAAAAAGAAGTTATAGGCTCCTGTCTCTATGGTTTAAACTCCTTAATTTCTCATTAATTAAATTAAAACAATACAATACACCAAAATAATCATAACCAATTTGCTCCAATCTCGCATTTTCAAATTAAACCAAAACTTATTTATATCATTTCCCTTAAATTAAAGACTAATATTATAAAATATAAGTTATCTTAATGAGTGCGAAGGTAGTTGAAAATTATTCCCTCTTGGAAGTCATAGGTTCTGGTTAATATGGTAAAGTCTATAAGGCTGTCAATATCAAGAATAACAGTCTCGTAGCAGTGAAAGTTGTCAAAATAGAAAAATTTAAAGAAGTCCCTAAACTAGAAGAATTTACAATGAATGAAATTCAAACCTTAGCAAGAATTAATAATCCTCATGTGGTTAAATTCATTGAAATGTTAAAGAGTTCTCGGAATTATTATTTTGTCTATGAATATTGTAATGGCTCAACCCTTGAAGCAATTATATAAGAATAAGGGTAAAAATTCAGTATTAAAACCTTAGAGTGTAAACAGAAAAAGAAGCCCTTTATTACTTTAGACAATTGGTCCAAGCCTTCTAATCATTGGTCTCAGAAAATATAATGCATAGGGATTTGAAGCCAAGCAATATTATGTTGCATAATGGTTAAATTAAATTGGGTGATTTTGGATTTTGCAAAGCATTGAATACTGCTTAGGATTTATCAACTACAATGGTCGGGTCACCAATATATATGGCCCCAGAAATTTTGAAAGGATAAGAGTATACAATTAAAGCAGATATTTGGTCATTAGGCTGTGTATTATATGAATTGCTTTATGGAATCTGTCCATTTGAAGAAAAAACGATGGCATAATTGATGTTAGCAGTTGAGGAAAGAGAAATATAATTTTTGGATAATGTTAATGTTGTATCTCAAACAACTAAAGATTTACTATTGAAAATGTTAACAAAAGATTATAATAAAAGGATAAATTGGAAAGAGTTATTCGAAAGAGAACTTACGTATGCTGAAAGTAATGCTATATTGAATTCTTAGGAATTAAAAATACAGAATAACAACCAAATTAAATTTAATAAGAACTGAGTTTAAACTCATAAAGAAATAAGGAATCTAAAGCCTTTAAATATTTATTAATGGAAAGAAATAAGATATTTTATCTATACAAAGTTGTCGAGGAAGTATTAGAATTGAGTAAAGATGAAGTATTTTTTAGTTATGATTTATTTAGAGAGATGAATAAAGAGAATCACAAAGTGTATATTGTGGATATTTACTTATGAAATATATTTGTTATTTGATAGAAATGATTAGGATGAATTTAGTTGAAAAATTCAATGTCTCAGCATTCCCTCATTTAGCTAAAAAACAAGAGTTATAAAATGATATTACTAAAACATTTGAATATAAAAGCTTTTGTACTTTAATACAAAAAGAGGTTGAAACAGCCAGAAAAATGTTCAAACATTATTAGGAAGAAGCTGACAAGTTTTTCAAATCCTAAACTAATGGATAACATATATATTAAGGAACTGAATTTGCCCATTTTGAAAATGAATTACAGAGAGAGTTAAGTACTTCTGAAATTTCGATTACCTTTATGAAAAAGTTAGTGTTAAAATATTGTGAGGATATGAAAAGTCAATTTTTACAGTAATTCTTAGACAAAAATCCATAAAGTGGAAGCAAGTAATATTTAAATATATATAAGATAATTATTACATATAGAAAAAACATTGGAATCACTAATTCTAGATGAATTTTTTGAAAATTGTATGGACATTTAATAAATCGATTTAGAACAATAGAATTATTTTGCCATTTTAAATAAATATACAAAAGCCGATTTATTGTAGGTTATTACGAACAAGATGGATTACATTAGACATAAATTATATAAATGATTATATTAAAATGTTAGATTAAAAACATTAATTGTTTTATTTGATAATATAAAATTACAATTTATTTCAATAAAGTTCTTACGGCTTAATTCAATATTATCTCCAATTTTAAATTCCAAATTACATACCAATAGATTTGAATGAAAAAATATAGAATAATGTATGAAGCTATATATTATGAGTGATAATTTTGAAAATGTTCTAAAAATAAAAAATTGTCAACTGCTTGTTTACTTTTTGAGGGTATTTAAGCATTTTTCAAAGTTGCAGCATAGAAACTTAATTATAATAATAGATTGAAAAAAAAAATTAGATAATCAAAATATGACTTTCAGAGAATGTGACAGTCAATTGCTTTATTAGATTATCTTCTACTAAAAAATTTATTTCTTTCCAACCCAAAATCATCTTTAGGAGTTGTATTATTTTGAGATCTATATTCTTCTTGTTTTTTTCTAGGATCAGTACAAAATTTTAATTCAATTTTCCTTAAGTAGTTTATAATAGACTGAATCTTAGGATTAGGTCGATGATAAATTTCTAATTCTATAGAGTCAAGACTTGAATTTAATTCTTCTGTCATGCTTTTATTTTTAATATTAATAATCATTTATCAATCGAAATCATTTCATTACAAATACTCATTTTAATTAAAAAGTAATCTTAATGATATTAACTGTTTAATATATATTTGATTAGAAAATCTTGTTATTAGTTAGTTACATAAAAATAAGGTATAAACAGAATATTAATTAATTATCATTTATTTTTTCTTCCTAAAGATTTTGCCATTTTTCTAAACTTCTTTAATTTTGAATTTACTTTACTGATTCTTTATTATCTTTGTTAAATCTTTTAAAATGTGTTTTTTGTTGTTTGTTTAATATATTCATATTCTAAAAATTGATCAATCAAATCAATCTAATTTTTCTTTTTCTTTTTGATATTATAATTATCTATAAATTACCATAATTATTACCTATTCCATCAACATAAGTTCCCACTTAAAAATACTTAAACATGGGTTTAAAATCACTTGATTTAATTGGTTATTTTGGATCTAAGTACTTCTTCAACTTCAATATTAAAAATTCTTATTCATAGTTTCATCTTGATCCTGCGATTTATTCCAAACCAACCTTATATTAATTATTGCATCTTAGCCATCTTCCTTAATCTTTTTTCTACTCTGTATTTTTTTAAACTAGGAATATCAACCTCTATTGAATCAGCAAAAAGAGACTGCTGTTCTAATTTTTGAACTTCATTGTCCATTTCCTATTTATAAGCGGGTTAAATTGCCAATAATTCAAAGTTTTAATCATTATTATAATTCATCTAATACTATTTGAGATTTAATAGCTATTCTAATTATTCTTATCTCATATTAAAACACCTTATAAATTAATAATAAATAAATTATTTACTCATTATAGTAAATCTAAATTACTAATCACAAATAAGGGTAAAAGATTTTTATACTCAATCAGCACATAATGAATAACTATTATCTTCATTTGAGAATCCTAAACTATTATTTAATTAAATTAAAAAATTACTTGGCACATCATATTAAACTATTAAATAATAGTTCTTGAATATATTTTATGATTCTACTTTGCTCTATTTAGTATTATTAATAGTTGGCAATAGAAATAAGAAATTATAGTTATTTCTAATAATCAAAATTATAAAGCCGATCAATTATTATTTGTAAGTCTAGTAAAATCTTCATAAAATGTAATTTATAAAATAGGTTTATTTTGACTCCAATTTATGTATAATTTTATAATTAAATTTATTAAAATGAGAAGCACAATTAAACCTTTACCATAAATTAATAACAGACCATCAATTGATGAGGAGGATTCTTATCCTGGGCGACTTCACACTATTTAGAGAAAGTTGAAATTTGGAAGCAACACCTATATCATTAGTAGTAATACTACTGTTTCAGAATCTTTAAATAAAAAATAGAAATAAACTCCTGTGACTGAATCATAGTTATTAAGACAAATTGATACAAAACTAGAAATGCATAAGAAAGACATAGAATAGAGAAACGATATGATTATTTCAATTGAGAAAGGCTTTGAGTCAATGAAATAAGAGTTAGTTAAAGAAAAAATCTAAAATGAAGAGAAATCCAAATAACTCTAAGAATTATAGGCTAGCTATTAAGCAATATAATTAAGATTAAAGTAGGCAGGAGATTCATCTAGAGTAAATTTACAAGCTGAAAAAGATAAAGAGAAAATTAATTCGTTAGAAATTAGCATTAAATAAGCTTAGGCAAAAGAATAAGAATTATTACAATAAATAGAATCATTGAACTAATAAATATCTCAATATTAAGAAAAATTAAAAAGCAAAGAAGAAAGTAATGAAGAATTTAAGAGATTAAAAGATCAACTGCATAAAGCTGAAGTATTAATTGATGTTAATATTTAAGGATTTGTAAAGTAAAATGGAACATTAAATTACTGACATCTAAAAAAATATCGAGAAGGAAGTTAATGAAAAAAACAATATAAAAAAATAATACGATTAATATAGGAATGATAGTCAATTAAAAGAATAGACTTTGAATAAAGAGATATCAGCATCATTGATATAAATCAAATAATTAGAATAAGAAAAGCTTGCAATTATGGAGAATCTAAAGAAATCTAAAGATTAGAATGATCAAAATTCTAAATTAAACGAGTAGATATTAAGTTTGAAACTATAACTATCAGAATTATCTAAAACAAAAGATGTATGATTATTAACTATGTAGAAAGAAATTAGTTAATTGAGACAAAAAATCGATGAATAATCCAAAAATTCTATAGAATTAAATAGTCAACTTGAAAAATTAAAGCAAAAACAACAAGAATTATAATAATAGTTACAGGATAAATTATAATAATTAGAATCATTAAGAAATCAAAAATAATTGCTAGACCAACAAAATCAAAATAATTAATCTGAAATTAATAATTTGAATACGCAATTAGATTCTTTGAAGGAGCAGTTATCCAAACCAAAAAATACAAAATAAATTATAGACACAATTACATTATTAGAAAAAACTGATGTATAATATTCTTATTAATATTTCTTAGAAAGATATATAAAAGAATTTATCATGTACCTTTTGTAACAAATTCATCAAGTAACCTGTTACTATAATTCCATGTGGGCATTCTTATTGTTTTGAATGCAAAAAAGGATATAATAAAGAATGTTTTAAATGTGGACCTAAATTAAAAATTGAAGCAATGTATAGAAATGAATTACTTGATGATATTATTGCAATGGTTAAATTAATTGAATAAAGCATCAACAGTATGAAATAAGTTACTAAATAATGATAGTGCATATATCATATTACAATCAAATAAGCAGTTCTAGCAAAAGTTTTTTGTAATTTATTATATTAATTGTTCTGATGTTGCTCAGTTTTAGATCTTTTTTTTTTTGTTTCTTTTTTTTACGCAATCTCAGGAAATTGACAAAAATATTCTTATTCTAATTATTTTTATGTAATTTTGTTTAATAGTTAGGCTGTGAGTACCTTTTAATTATCTGGCATCATTTTAGCTTTTATCATTTCTGGTTTAATGAGATGATCTAATTCTTTAATTGAAATATTTCTATGTTTGGGTTTCTAAATATTAATTAATGTAGATACTGATTTTGGCAATTATTCTTTATGATTTGAAAATAAACCTAGTTTAATTCTATATTTATTTAAATAAAGTTGTTTAAATTTTGTTTTAGAAGGATTTTCTACTTATTCCCAACTTAAATTATTTATTGACATTTAATAAATTCCTTTAATTTATTTATTAATCAAATTTATTCAGTTTTTGTCAAGTCATTTTATTATTAAAGAAGAGTTTTCATTTAAATTATAGGATTTATTATGTTTAACAATTAGATTTATTCATATAAATTGTTAAATATGACATAAATTTGCAAGTGATTAAAATAATAAAAACTGAACTATAGTTTTTAATTCAGTGAGCCTAAATCAATACTGGATTAATGAATAAATGTCTGTAATGTTGTAATACTGAATTAAAAAATGAAAAAAAAGTTGAAGATAAATATTTAATGAAAAGAGAAAGAATTCTTGATTAAAAAATGAATAAAGTCTTATATTTATAAATTGCAATTAGAATAGACTGGAAAATTAGATAAGTGATTTTAAGAAATTATTCTTTACACCGTAAATAATCAAGGACTAAAGATGATAATTTGATTCAGTATTTCATATCTCAAATAATTGTATTAAAGGATAATATTATGATATTTTTTTATTTTACTAATGATATTTCAATATGTTTTTTTAATTCTCTCTGCATTTTTAGGAGAATCATAAATAGTTGGAGGGCGACGCATCTCATGTTGAAAATGGTTATATTCAAAGGTCCTATTTGATCTTCTTGTATATGCTAACTCCATCAGGAAATCAAACATATCGTCCTAAAGATTTGAGGTTAAAAATTACAGTGCACGCATATGCTGCTTCATAAAACATTGCATAACATGGATATACTTTGGCTCTTTTCAAATAATCAGCTTCAGTCTTATCCATTTTAAAATGCTCCGCTTAATCACAATCAAACCACTTCTAAAATCTTAAAGCACATAATGTAAAGTAATCTTATTGTGATTGATATGTTGGATAAGGAACATAGACTTTTTATTTAGGTGGTAATCCAACTTAGAAACAATTAGTTCTCCCTGTTGGAGTAGTACCTCTGAATGGAAACAAACAATCTTCCAAGGCCCCTAAATTGAATTAATAAATTATCGATTACATCCTTCAAACAGAATGGTATAAACATCGTCTGGTTCCATCAAAGAGTATTTGTTTGCTGTGGTGTCGAAGTAGAAACACTAGAATTTGAAAATTGTATACTTTAGTATATAATCTAAACCAATCCTTTAATTACTCCTTTTCCCATACTGCATCAGTTCTTAATACAAAATCTTTCTCATAGTCTTTCCAATTGATTCCTTTAATTTAATTGTTGAATACCTTTATGGGAAAAGTCATAATTTGGAGGCATTTTGTGGAAGTCTTTGGGCAATGTCTCTAACAATGGTTAAGTGGCCATTTTATATGTTTAATTAATTTATTTACAAAAATTATATATGATTCATGCAATGGATAAAATTAATTGAGGAATCTTTATTGTGTTTATACACTATTTAAAGTTATCCTGATATTAAATATCTACTAATAATAATAATTTAAGATATCCAATATAATAGTAAAATTAGAATTAATGACTAATTACATGGATCCTGAAGAAGATTAAGAAATTATTGATTCCATTCTGAATGGTACCATTTAGTTAATAGAATTACAGCTCTTGAAAGTGATGAAGAGAGATCCTTTTCACCATCAATGACAAGATCTGAAACGAACAGGACTTATTCTCCTCAAATAATGCGATAGTAACAGTAATCTACCTTAAGCTAATTAGATATTCAATAAAGAAAATATAAAGTCCAATAATTGGTTTCAAACTAGACTGTTGGGCAATCCAAGCATTTTCATTAGATGAAGATTCCTACCTTGATGGAGATTTAGTATTGTATTTACATAACATAGATTCTCAAATGTAAAGACCAATAAAATAGTAGAAAAATCCAGAGCTTATTTGAAAAAGGAGATGACGAATAAAAAGAATATATATTTTTTAAAATATTACCTGGTATAGTCTAATTGGCCAATGATATTTTTGGGAATTATGTTGTACAAAGAATTTTAGAATAAGGCAATGAAAAACAAAGATAGTTAATCTTTGATCAACTAGCTGAATCAATTTTATTATTAAGTTACAATACTTACGGATGTAGAGTGGCACAGAAATTATTAGAAATTTCTTATAATACTGATAAATTCGAATAGATGTTTTCTATTCTTTAATCCTAAATAAGAATTCTTGTTGTAGACATCAATGGAAATCATGTTATTTAAAAAATAGCCGAACTGATGAAAGCTTAAAAAATTGATTGGCTTATTGAAGGAGTTCTAGGATAGATTTAAAAGTTGTCCAATGACTCTCATGGTTGCAGATTGATTTAATAAATTTTAGAATAGTCTGCTACTTCATAGGTATATTTATTACTTAATCTTATTGTATTAGTTAAATAGCATATACAAAGAATTATTAGCTTTATAGGATGAATTATGCTTATCTCAATATGGAAATTATATAATTTAAATTTTGCTTTAGAAAGGGCCTTTTGAGGTTGTTTAAAAAATACAAAGCACCATTATTAAAAATTTAGAAAAACTTAGTTGTGATAAATTCGGAAGGTAAATATGACTGTGATCTTAATAGTAATGTGGTTGATAAAAGTGTCAATATCTCTTCTTTTATGAGGAAGGAGATTTTGAAAGTGTTCATAAACAATATGAATATTTTTTATAGGTTATCCAACAATTGTTATGGGAATTATGTTATCTAAAATTTTTGTAAATAACTTGATCATAGTTAATTATTAAAAATACATCCAGAAGGTAATTAACTTAATACTTAATTTGGTTAACATGTACTCTAAACCTTATAAAAATTAAAAAATTGATTTGATAAATAAGATAATATTAATAATCCAGATATAATCTAAAGAGCAAATGGATTATAAATATTATTTTTGTATATATTGTAAATATATAAATCTTAGTATTATTATTAAATATATTATCGAATATTATTTGAGAAATGGGGAAAGATAAAGCTAAAGATAAATAAGTATAATATTAAGTTTATTCGATTAGAGATCATCAAGCAAGGATAAAAAGAAGGAAAAAAAGGAGAAAAAGGATAAGAAAGATAAAAAAGAAAAACATATAAAAAAAGAAAAAAAATAAAAGAATGAGATGATAAAGAAGAAACCAAAAAAGAATTAATGGGGCAAATATGGTACTATCAGGTTTTGTATTTTTAATATTAAAGTAATACAGATATGTATTTAAAACGTGAAGAGTTTTTAATGTGGTTATCAGATGTAAAAATGCTAAATGTAGAGGCGAATACACCTTAGGAAGAAAAGAAGTATTTTGAAGAGTACGTGGAATGTTATAACACAGCAACATTTCCATCTTAAAAGTTCTATAATTTTAAAGCATGGTTCGAAAAGGAATAACTTAAAGAAAAAATTTAATAAGCTGAATTAGAAATGCAAACTTTTGATGACGAAAAGGAAAAACAGTATTAAATTGTTTTTATCTTTAGGAAGGAATATTAGGAATAAAAAGAATTGATAAAAAAGTAAAAATTATAAAGAGAATATTAACATTTACATGAATTTCAGAATATTGTAATTAAATTATGATTTATTAAGGCGCAAGACATGCAGAAATAGAAGCAAATTTAAGATCTCGTTAGACATTACAATTCAATAGGTAATCATGAGGTTGCCTTGAGATACTACAAATAATTAAATCCAATTCATACTATTGATGCTCCTCAAATGTAATAACAACCTCCTATGGAGTACGATTATGAATATGATAACTTCTGATCCAATCAATATGATTTACATAAACAATAATAATTAATATTTAATATGTGTAGCTGTTAATTTTTATAAATAATTTGAATATTAAATGGCAAAAATTATAGATAATTATATACTAATTGAAGCAATTGGATAAGGAACCTATGGTGAAATACACAAAGGTCGGAATTTAATTTCAAAAGAAGCAGTTGCTGTCAAAACTATTAAATTAGATAGATTCTTAAATGATTCTCTCTTAAAAGAAATGATCATAAATGAAATTTAGGCTTTAAAAAAATTGGAAGATCAGCACATAGTAAGAATGATCAAGATGCTAAAATCTTCAAACAATATCTATTTAGTCTATGAACATTTAAACGGAGGGTCGTTGGCCAATTATTTATAGGAAAAAGGTCGGTTAAGCGAATATGAAGGCAGATAAATTATCACTAATATATTTAAGTAAATATAATTAACATCATGTAGAGGGTTTAAAACTTTAAACCATGAAAAAATCATTCACAGAAATATCAACCCTGAAAATTTATTTTTTAATGATGGCATTATAAAAATTAAGAACTTCTTTTGCTGTAAATCATCCACAAGTTAAAAGATATTCGATCCAGGTATCATAATATATGAATTGATTAGAGAATTACTTATACGCTGCTCCTGAAATTTTATTAAAGACTTAATAATATTAATATGAGGATAAGTGTGATATTTTTTCACTAGGATTAGTGTTTTACAAGATGTTTTTTGGAACACTTCCATTTCCTGAAAATATTGCATAAGAACAATTAATAGAGCTATATCGTTCTTAAGATTTCAACCCTATTATTGAGGATTTATCAGAAAATACAAATTACATTTTAAACGGAATGCTTTAAATTGATCAATAAAAAAGAATTGAATGGTAAAAGTTATTTCATGAAGAATAAGTACCGTCAACCTCAGGACTTGTGAATTCTATTAATACAAATTTTGCATCTAATTATCAAATAAATTCATAAGTTCAATAGTTTGAGACGGTAGGATAATAAAACTTTTACATTTCTTAATAATCTATACAAAATTAAATAACCACAAGTCCGAATGAGTTGATCAAGAGAAGAAATAATTTATAAGATAAAGAAAATACCAAAGCCAATAAAGAAAATGATAATATTTCATAATTTACTAAAACCGTAGAAAAAGACTCTAATATATCATCATATCAAGTATCCATTTAATAATAATAATAATAATAATAAATATAATAACAATAATAATAATAACAATAATAAACAAATTCAAATGTATAAATCAGTAATCTAAATGGTTAATCAAATGTAATTAAATAGATTTAAACCTAACTATTTGAACTTCGTTATAAATTTAATATTCTAATTTAAGGGATTATTAGAATTGAATAGCTTGAAAGTTGGTCTGCAAAAATTAAAACCGAAATTTGCATGATTTTTTTAATCAAAAAAGGCATTAAATATATAAATGAGATGATTGAAATTTGTTAAAACAGTGATAGATAATGGGTAATGTCTAAAAATAAAAATGATATAGTTAAAATTTTGTAAAAAGATTACGATGAACTATTATTGTAGTTCAGATTCATCAAATAAGCAGTAAATTGATATTTATATTTAGACTAATTCTCAGCACGAAGAATTAAGCTCTTATGAAATTATTGACGAATAATACATCGATAATGTGTTGATAATGATAGCAAAATAAATTTCAATGGATTTAGGATAAGTTAAATCAAGTATGCGTACTAATTCTTAAATAAAGAGCAATGTAATATACATCTTTAATATAGTCTTTTAATTATGAATAAACTAGCTAAAGAAATGGTAGTTTTATTGAATAAAAGCAAAATATTGCAAATTAATAGATTTTTGCCATCTTTTTGATAGATTTAGTTAAAGGATATATATAAGACGAACAACGCCCTTACTTTAAAAAAATCGAGGAATCAAAACTCACTGAAATTTTAGACTTTAAGCTAAAAGCAGTCTGATTTTATCTATAATGCTAATATGATTATTCAATTTAAATTTATATTAATTGAAAATTAGTAAATAATCTAATTGAGTTTTCTTATCATTTAAGTGATTGATAATTGTTGAAGATTTTGAAAATTACAAAAATTTTCTTAATTAAAAAAATATGAAATTTTTTCACAATTTAATCAATATAATATATTAAAATTAAAAATGAGAACTAGATCTTGCCTTCCAGACATTTCATTTAGAGACTATTGTTAGAAATACTTCAATGATTCCTTTATTACAAGCGAGAGATAAACTAAAACTAAATTCAAGTTAGATGAAATGAAAAGTGTTCCAATGAATAAAGAAAAATAATTAGAATTTTAAAATTTTATAAACAATGCTATTGATCAAACAAAAAAGGTGAGAATTGAAGCAACACAAGAAGCAACAAAAACATTTGGTAATCCAAAGTAGTGGCTTAGAGCTTAAAAAGAATACTTTAAATAGCCAGAATAAAAACATAAGACGTATATTGAATGCTATCAACTTTAATTACCCACTTAAATAAACTTTAATAAATGGAAATATAAAGAGAGACTAGAGTAAATTAGAAATCGATCTTATTCTGTTCGTAAAACACCGAACAGTCAGAGAAGACAATATTTATTTTGATTATAATTGTTTGCTCATTAATGTTTATAAATTCCTTATATAAAGTTCTTTAAATCATTTCTTGCTCATAGAGGTTTAATTCTGAAATTCACATTATAATCTAAAGAAAGGACTTTGTGTTGGTTGAAATATAATTATATATTAATTATAATTATAAGATAGTTTTAAAGGCGGTCCACAATAATAAATGATACCGAATAAGAATAAATACATAAGCGCAGATTTTTCAGGTTTTTAGAAAAGCTTATTTAAGGTTCTCTTTAACAACATGATAATCTTTGCTAATTTCTAAATCTTAAAGATTACTCAAAATTCTCAAAATCAGAAATGGAAAAAGTAAGATTAATGATATTTTAGAAATAAAAATTAATATGGCAAGAGATAGCCTAAGATTGGCAAAAGTATTAAAGAGACGTTAAAGTTATTTAATTAGCAGAATTTGGAATACCTTATAGTGCCAGAAGATTTATTTGGCCTTTGATTGTTGGTAATAAACATTAGATAACTTTGGAATTATTTGAAATATTATCAGAATAAGCATAAAACATAATTATTGATGCCAAATATAATTATGGAAGGATAAGCTCAATGAAGTTGATCCAGAAAGATTTAGGGAGAACTTTTGATGTTCCAAGTATGAATTGGTTAACATAGGTCTTCGAAACATTTTTTAATCAGGAGGACCACTAAGTGGAAGTTTACAATTAATATTGGAGACATTTTGTGTTTATCGACCAGATATCGGTTATATCTAAGGGATGACTTATATAGCCTCTATACTTTTGACTTATTTAGATGACTATCAAACGTTTATAATTTTTAGCAGTCTCATAACACATCCATAATTGCTTCCCATATATTTAGTTGATTATAATTTGCTTCAGGTGATCTTTTAATAATTTTAAAAATTGATAAAAATCAACATCCCTAAAACATATCTACTACTAAAATAATATAATATCGATTGTTCAAATTATTTACTAGAATGGGCTATTACACTGTATGCAAAAACTTTAAATCCTGATATAGTTGGAAGAATTTGGGATAGGATGTTTTTTAGCGGAACAAATGTATTATGGAAGACTGGTATTGCAATACTAAAGTTGTTGTCATCAAAATTTAAAGATTTAGAAACTACAGTTCAGCTGTTGAAACATCCTTAATTGAATGAAGATGAGTTATTATATGAGATAAGCTTGGTAGAATATCCATAGGATGTTTCAGAAATTTTATCAAACTTATAACTATGATTATAAACTGAATATATATTATAAAGTATATATATATAT